GTGTTACAGTGTGCATTGTATTGTAAATATCTCAAAACTTTACAAAGACACTTGACAATTTTAGTATATGTAATTTTAGTATATACATCTAGCTATAATATTTACAAAACTCAAGCTTGTAGAACAAATAGAGCGTCCTAAAAAAAAATATTGAAAAACACAGATTTTTTTTATTTCAGTACGAGTATTGTGAGTGTTACAGTGTGCATTGTATTGTAAATATCTCAAAATTTTATAAAGACACTTGACAATTTTAGTATCTTTAATTTTAGTAGATACATCCAGCTATAATATTTATAAATTTCAAGCTTGTAAATTAAATAGAGCGTCCTAGAAGAAATATTGAAAAACATTTATTTATACTAGTACGATGTAGTACTATGGACTTTGAGCAGTGTATTGCAAATATCTCAAAATTTTACAAAGACATTTGACAATTTTCAAATCTGTAATTTTAGTAAATACATCTAGCTATAATATTTATAAATTTCAAGCTTGCAGATTTAATAGAGCGTCCTAGAAAAATTATTAAAAAACAAGGATTTATTTATACTAGTACGATATAAAACTAAGGAGAGTTACAGACTTTGAGAATTGTATTGTAAATATCGCAAAATTTTACGAGGACACTTGACAATTTTATCTGTAATTTTAGTAGATACATCAGGCTATAATATTTATAAATTTGAAGCTTGTAAATCACATAGAGCGTCTTAGAAAAAATATTGTAAAACACTGATTTTTTTTTATTCTAGTATTAGTACTATAGATAGTCACATACTTTGTGCATTTTATTGTAAATATCTCTAAATTTTAGAGAGACACTTGACAATTTTAGTATCTGTAATTTTAGTAGATACATCTAGCTATAATATTTATAAATTTCAAGCTTGTAGATCAAATAAAACGTGCTAGAAAAATTATTTAATTAAGGTTTGTCGTAGTACAAGTAGTGCAAGGTGGACTTTTTGTGTATTATTGTAAAATTTTCAAAATTTTACAAGGGCAATATTTTTGCTTCACAATTTTAGAAAAACAAACTTATTTTATCAAATCCAGCTACAAAATCTACTATCTGCACTATGGGCTTAAACAGAATTTAACAAAGAAAGATTATTTAAAAAAAGGCCTATTTAAAAAGTAGTGCTAAAATTCTTAGTATATTATTAGACTTCTACAATAACTTATGAAAGAACCATTAAATTTACAAGACTTTTTTGTTCGTAATTCCTTTACCTTGTACTTCACATGTCAATTTCCTGTAATTTTTCATCTCAACCCTTTTCGTCCTATTTCTTTCACCTTCAACGACATCTTACTAGTATCATCTTCCAAAAACACCTTCCTTATCTAATCAAACTTGAAAATCTTCAACCCTCTATCCACCGTCTTATCAGAAGATGTTTTCCTCCCTTTCGCGAAAAGGCGACCTGATTGTTCGATAAGTCTATTTTGCGTCCGTCTGACTGGCTCGAACCCTCAACCCCAAACCGGTAGGGGTGTCGGGTTGTAAGTGTATTTGTAAAATTCTTCAACGAGATGTAACAAATGGGTTTTGGGTTTATTTTGTGCAATATTTCACAACACGGCCTCGACAGCACGTGTCTGCGGTATAATGGAAGTTTTTTTGGAGGAATATCGATATTGGGATTTGAATTTCAAAGATTAATGGAATGGATTGTAAGGTGAATTCTGAAGTGTCAACAAAATATACATAGATGTATATACTGTTAAAATGAATATTAAAATTAGTACATTTTTTTCAAAATTTTGAAATATTAATTACGTAACGTCAACTGTTTCTAGGCGAGTCGAGTGTTAAAATCTCCTTAAACTTTGAACTTATAAATTTTTGAAAAAATTTCAAAAATTGTTTGTCAGATCTACAAACTTGAAATTCAAGAATATCATAAAAAGATGTATCTAGTATATTAAAAAATACTAAAATTGATAAGTGTCTTTGTAAAATTATGAGATATTTACAATAATATGCATAAAATCCTCAACACTTCACAGTACTCTACTAGTACATAAATAAAATCTTGTTTTTTAATAAGTTTTGTTTCTTCTATAAAGTTGAAATTTGAATATATTTTAGCTAAATATATGTACTATGATACCAAATACTAAAATTGATATGTCCTTTTGCAAAATTATGTAATATTCATAATTCAGTACATAGTCATTTATCATTAAGTTACGACTATAATAAATATTTCTTACTCAAGATTTTTTTCAATAATTTTTCTAGCACACAGTTTTTAAGCTAGTAGTTTGAAATTTTTATATATCATAGCTTGATGTATATACTATACTAAAAAATATTAAAATTGATGAGTGTTTTTAGAAAATTCTGAAATATTTGCACTGCAAAAAATATTAAAATCCATAAGTGTTTTTGCAAAATTTTGAAATATTTACAATAATATACAAAAAGTCCTTGACTCTCCATTTCACTCTACAAGTACGACCAACAACAATGCATTTATTGAATATTTTTTATAAAACGTTGTATGTTACTTACAAGTTTGAATTTCGGTATAATTATAGCTTGATATCCCTACAATAATATAACAAAATTATGAGATATTTACAATCAAACACCATACTAGATTCATACTAGCAAAAACAGTTTCTTTAATCTCAAGGATTTTTGTGATAATTTTTCTAGCACATTTTGTTTTAAGTATAAGCTTGAAATTTTTTTATATCATAGCTTGATATGTCTACTATACTGACAAATACTAAAATTGATGAGTGCCTTTGCAAAATTTTGAAATATTTATGATAATATACATAAAGTCCTTAACTTAATGTTGCTGTTCAAGTACCACCAAAAATATTGTGTTTATTCAATAATTTTTATAAGATGTTTTATTTTATCTACAAGTTTGAGTTTTCGTACAATTATACTTTAATGTATCTATTATATAAATAAATATTAAAATTGATAAGTGTCTTTGCAAAATTACGAGATATTTACAATACTGTCCCATACTACGTACTAGCAAAAATAATTTCTTCAGTCTCAAGATTTTTTTTGATAATTTTTTAAGCACATTTTATTTGAAGTATAAGCCTGAAATTTTTGTATATCATAGTTTGATGTGTCTACTATACTAACGAATACTAATATTGCTAATTACTTCTGCAAAATTTTGAAATATTCACAATAATATACAAAAAATCCTTGACTCTCCATTTCACTCTACAAGTACGACCAACAACAATGCATTTATTGAATATTTTTTATAAAACGTTGTATGTTACTTACAAGTTTGAATTTTTGTATAATTACAGCTTGATATCCCTACAATAATATAAAGTACTAAAATTTTTAAATGTCTTAACAAAATTATGAGATATTTACAATAAAACACCATACTACATTCATACTGGCAAAAACAATTTCTTCAATCTCAAGGATTTTTGTAATAATTTTTCTAGCACATTTTGTTTTAAGTATAAGCTTGAAATTTTCATATATAATACCTTAATGTGTCTACTATAGTAGAAAATATTAAAATTGATGAGTGCCTTTGCAAAATTTTGAGATATTTACAATAATATACATAATGTCCTTAATTCCCCATATTGCTGTACAAATACTAGCAAAAGCAATGCGTTTATTGAATATTTATTATACAAGGTTTTGTTTTATTTCTAACTTTGAAAATTCATTATACTTTAGCTTAGTGTATTTACTATTTAAATAAATACTAAAATTATAAGTGCCTCAGCAAAATTTTGAGGTATTTACAATATAGCAATATATTGTACTAGCAAACACAATTTCTTCAGTCTCAAGGAAATGAAATATTTTATAAATTTTTCAAATCATTTTCTGCTACATTTTTATATTATTTTCAATAATTCAAACTACATGTGTTCTTAGTGCATATAAACTATATACATTATATTATTACATGAATTTCAACAAAATATTCAACTTGACAACTTTTGTTCCCTGATGGTGCGAATTATGACATTATGGTCATAAAAAAGTTCAGATTTATTATTCACTAAAGTAGAAATTTATGCATTTGTGTTGTAGTTGTTAAAAGTTGCTTAATTATGTTAAATAAAATGACACATTATGAAGAGGAGACTTGACTATTATGGTAATAAAGTAGTTTTATTGAGTCACTATGGTTTGTTATAAAATTAAAGTTTATTTGTTAAGTTTAGTAATTTAGTATTATATTACATACATAAAGATGTGTAAATTTTGAATACTAAGTTTGTATAAAAAATATTGAGTGCTTGAATAATTATTTTACAAATAGGTGTTAATATTAGGTTGTCAAATATCTCCCTTCCGCTTTTTTGCTCTTGGTTTATAATACAAAAAGGCGGAAGGGAGATATTTGCCAACCTATATATTACAGCTATTTTTTGGAATGCATAAAAGCAAATCGATCTACTTTTAAAAGGCACCAAAAACCAACAAATCTAAAAAATCGCACAATCATTTGCAACTGCAAAATTGAGCTTAACTACTTAATACTTAATTTAGTTGAGGTTCCAATGGTAAAGTTTAGTGTGGTAAAATTTTGTAAATATTTCATAATTTTGTAAAGGCACTCACGAATTTTAGTATTTATTCAGATAGTGGATACATTAAGATATATTGTTGCCAAATTTTGGGGTTGTAGATTTTAAAAGGCGTTCTGAAAAACATATTTTGCAAACTAATATAGTGATTTTCATTATTACATAAAAGTACGTTTTTTATTGCATCGTGAATAACTTTCAAAATATGCATCCGCTATTAATAGTATATATGAAAAAAATGTGCAAAATTAAACCAGCTACGACTTTGTCTAACACTATTTTGCTCTACAACAACTCGATCTACTTATAAAGGGCACCAAACCCTAACAAATGTTTAAAATCGCACATTCATTTGTAACCGCAAATTGAGCTTATCTACTAAGTTTTTTTAAAAAAAATTTAATAATTAGATAACCTAATATCTTATCTTTTTTTTCTATTTTCAGATAATCCTGGTGCTGAAGTCCCTAAATCGTTATCCGACCACAAACGTGACGGTGACGGCCCAGATCGTCTCCCACGTTTTGGCCTATATGAATTCCTGCGTGAATCCGGTCCTGTACGCCTTCCTGTCGGACAATTTTCGGAAGGCGTTTCACAAGGTGTCGAACCCTTTACTTTAATAATAAAAAATAATAAAAGACACATATATACATATTAGGGTGGTCCTTGATATGGCAAATTGATAGAAAACAATTCACTGAAAAATTTAGCTCTTAATATTGTCTTTTAGATAAAGCGCTATTCAATCAAACTTTGTATGGAAAAAGCATGAAAAATGTTTTGAAAATTAAAAAAAAAATTTTTAGGTATTACTTAACGAAAATTGAATTAAAAGTGAAAATTCGTGTCATTTTTTATTGAAAATTTGACGCTCTGCAAAATTTTTGAAATTTTCTTCATGCTATTTCCATACAAAACTTTGATTGAATTACGCTCTATCTAAAAGTTAATATTAAGAACTAAAACTTTCAGAGAATTGTTTTTTATCAATTTGGAACCATTTGAGCCATTGGGAGCAAGGAAATTCAAAAATGTCCATATTAAGGACCACCCTAATACATATACATAATTACACACATCCATATAAAAAATCCTAAACATTTCCTTCTATAAATAAAATAATATTGTTTTAAATAGTTTTTGAGTAACAAAATTACATTTTTTTGGGTGGAGCAATGTACAAACAAATTATAATTGTTAATTAAATTTTATTAATCAGATTTAATACTTTATTTTTTAATTTAAAAAATTATTTTCTATACAAGTACATCATACATTTTTCAAAAATTAATGAATATCTTTGATACTTTTATTTGATTTAATTTCCATCTAAAAAAACCTAAACATTTCGTTCTATATATAAAAAAAATTAAATAATTATATAATTATAATTTTTTGTGGTGGAGTAGTGTACAAACAAATCATAATTGCTAATTAAATTTTACTAATCAAAATATTAATTTATCATTTAAAAAAAAATTGTTTTTATACAAGTATATTATACATTTTTCAAAATTTATTATCTTTGATTTTTTCCTTTGATTTGATTTTATTCATCAATTTATTATTTTTTTTTATATTTTTAGTTTATCATAATTGGCTTAAATATCTAATTATTATTATCTATAGACTAAACGAAAATTCCTGAACAACTATTATTTTCTTGTAAGTATCAAAATTAGTTGTCGTAAAATCGTGAAAGCTTTTTCTCGAGCTTTTTCCTTATTAGAAATTTCTTTGCTGACAATGCAATTAATAAGAGAGCTGGGTGGACTTTTGTTACATACTTTTGACATAAAAAAATAAAAAAGTGATAGTGAGTTCTTATATTTATTTATTTGAATAATTTCATTTTTATCACAATTTCTATATACAGCAATAAAAAATTTATAATTTTAAAACAAAAAGCTCATAATTAAAATAATCAGGAATAAAAATAAAAAACTACAATTTTTACTATAAAAATGCAAAATAAAGAGAAGAATTTGTCAGATTTTTTTTATCTTTTTACAATTTTTTTATTGAATTCTTCAAAAAATAAAATTAGTGAAAATTTGTGAAATTCGTTAAATTATCTGTCAAAAATATATAATGCTCTCTAACAAAAATCATCACTTGTTATGTTATTATCGAAAATTACTTTATATCATTTAACTCATCATAATATAATTTATTTCTTAATTTTTTTTTCAAATTTTGTTAATTCTAATATGTCCAATTATTACTATAATAATTATTTTTTAATATAATTACAGTTTTATATTTCTTTTTAAAAATTATCTAAAAAAAGTGGAATTGAGTTTTTAAATTTATTTATTTATATAATTTAATTCTCACCAAAATTTCTATATGCAGCAATAAAAAAATATATAATTTTAAAACGAAAAGCTCATAATTAAAATTATTAGGATTAAAAATAAAAACAGAAATTTTACAATAAAAACAACAAAAGCCAAAATAAACAGAAGAATTTTTTTTTTCTAAAAAGTAAAAAATTGTAAAATTAGTTAAATTTATCTGAGAAAAATATGGAATTTTTATAACAGAAATTTAAGAATTTGTAAGTAAAAAATCGTAAAATTATTTAAATTTTTCTGGCAAAAATATAGAATTTTCCTTAACAGAAATTTAAACAAATATCATCACCTATAATTTTATAATCAAAAATTACTTAATATTATTTAATTTAATTTATTTTTTTTTCAAGTTTTGTTAATTCTAATATGTCAAATTATTACTATAATATTCAATTTTTGAATATAATTACATTTATATATTTATTTTGAATTTTCAAACAATTTTTATCTCCAAAGAAGTATCGATTATCCCCCGGCTCTCGGACTAATTTTTAAATGCAAAAAAGTAGTCGTAGAGACGTAGACTCTCCTTTTCCATTTAACTTGTACAGCTTGAGTTTCAACTTAATTTAATTAATTCCACTTTTTTAATAAGGTTTTAAACTAATTATAAAATTCACTTGAAAACTCTACAGAGACTAGACAAACATTAACACACACATACACACACTTGCATGTATATATATATATATATATATATATATATATATTTATTTATTTATTTATATATATATATAATTTTGTATATATCGATGTTTTGCTAATTAATTTTCGAATTTAACCATACAGTTTTTTATATAATAAATTAGTTCATGCATAAAAGCGCTTTTAACGTGAAAACAAATAATTAATTCTATCTCATGTTAATTAATTTTGGAATTAATTATTGGTGTGATTGTATATATATATATATATATATATATATATATATATATATATCCTCTAGTTTATTATCTGGTGAGGAATCTATCATCATCACAAAAGCATTATCACACTTGGAAATCACTTTGCGAATTCTAAGGAAAAAACTGCCAAAAAGATTTATATGTAAGGAAGGATTCTCTCGACAAGGATGAAAGAAAGAAAAATCATTATCGGCCTTTTTCTAGGACACAAATAAGTCTATTCTAGGACTATGATATATGGGAAAACAAATACTGTGGATCAGAGACATGGACTCTAAAGAGAAAGACAAAAACTATATGAAAAACAAGACTAGATAAATTGTACTGATAAAAATTGAACAAATACTTAGATTTATAGAAAATTGTGAAAAATTTGGGATAAGACAGTCCATGGACAAGAAACAAGGACTCTAAAAAAAAACAATAAAAATGACCGAAGGGGCGTCCATTAATCACGTGATGTTTTTAGACAGAGGGGGTTTTGACAAAAAATTACGAAATATCACATAAGGGAGGGAGGGTATCGTACAATATCTCATGTACTTATTTTTCACTTGATTTTTTCAAAAAAATCCAAATATTTTCAAAAAGAATAAAAAATTTAACATTTTTCTCAACGGACGCCCTCCGAAGGATTTATGTAATGAGAAATAATATTAGGCCTATAACAGACATAGAAAATTAAATACTGATTTATGAAAATTTGGGGAATAAAGTCCATAGATCAGAGACATGGACTCCCGAAAAAATAATATTCTAAATCCAGTTTTTTACAATATCAGTTTTTGTAAAGGTCCAAGTAGGTACTACTAAGTACTAAGGCAACTAAGTTTTCTAATTCTGCCGAAAGCAGATTTTCGAATACGTAAAAATTTCTAGGATAATAAAAATATTAAAATTGCAGCAGTTATTAATCAAAGTTTTTTTTTCAATTTAATTGCACTAAATATTTCAGCATTATTTTTCTGTAAGGTACGACTTAGGCAACCTTACCCTAAACATTTTTTATAGGGTAGAGCGGAGATTAAACAACAACTAAAGTTAGGATTTTTTATCAACAGTATTTGCAAGTAGAGCGCAAAAGTTTTGCAACCAGTCATCACCTTGATTCTTATGACAAAGCTATCAGAATATAAACCCTAATGTTTGAAAATACATAACAAAAATATATACTTTTGTTGTTGATTTTTTTGGTTTTGAGCACTGTTGTTTAGTTGATGAGACTTTAATATAATTTTTAAGTACACGCTATTTAAATGTTTTATAGGATAAAACATTTAAAAAGCGTATTGCTAATATTATGTTAGATTCAATAGTTTTTTTTATACAACCCCTATGAAATTTTATACGTGAGTGGGATAAAAAGGACCAACTAGACATTAACCTTGGCAAAGATGTAAAATGAAAATTAGCAAATAAAAAAGTGAATTAAGTTAATAAAACAATTTTACAAGAGATAAATTATATAAATAGGTATTTTAACCCAGTTGATAAATATTTTTTACGAAATACCAGATCCAGGTTATACAGTGTTCTCTATAAAAAATGTACCCATCAAATTTATATTTAGCATTAGTTGAACAATGTAGATATTTTTTTGTAGAATCCCCTCAAAATTAAAAATAAGATATTAGATTTTTTCGTTTTCTAGCTGTTCCATTTTACCCCGCCTATGGGTCAAAAAGGTACTGTTGACAAATTTTTGAAAAACATCAGATTAAATGCGTTTCTAGAATTATGATTAAGCTGGGAATATTGCTGAAGATAGTCGGATAGTTGTTTATTTGATATGTTTTGAATTTTTTTCGATGTAGTTAATTTGGTTTGGATCAAAATAAGATACTTTGCCGAAGAAACCATATCTCTAAAATGAATTCGGATGTCCCGTGCATTAATATCTGAAAAACATATGCAACTTTTAAATCGACTGGCTCTAATATATATATATATATATATATATATATATATCAAGAATTTATAAATATGTAATTATATATTTATATATATATATATATATATATATATATACATATATAATTCCATTTTTATAAATTTTCTATTCCATTATCCAGGTGGTGCATTGCCGCGGTCCGACGCAGCATTGGCGTGCAAGCCAGACGACCAGAGGCGGCGGCGGGCCGTTCGGGGCGGCGACGAAGAGCACGGCAGGGCCGAACGGGGGCAACGGCAACAATGGGGCAACAGGGCCAACAAAATACCCCCGACACGAGATTATTACACCCACAAGAGGGCAACACGCACACGACGCAACTGGACCACTCGACATACTCTAGGAGCAGACAGGTAAATGGGAAAAAGATAATTTAACTAGTGGTGTATGACATCGTGCCTTGAGGAAAATTGCTGGAACTTCCAGTACCGTAATGGAATATTCGAGAAATTTTAAACGTGATATTACAAATACTGTAACTTTCATTATTTTTGCTATCTTGTTGTATCTGAGCAAATCATATGTAAATCATAAATCAATCAATTTATCTCCAGAACATTAACAATCGTCATTTCATTTCGAATTCAATTTAAAAAAATAATAGTTTCCTAATTTGCACAAAATTGAAAAAGTGCTCCCGTATAGTCACAGTCTAAACGCACTTGCAAATAATTCTGTGCGACATTCTCACTTATACTGTGCTTAGCTTGGCGGCATTTTCACATTTTTCAATAGTTTTCCAGTTTTCACAAAATTGGAATAGTGCTCCAGTATATATACAGTCTAAACGCACTTGGGTAAACATTTGTACCGGAGTGACGCTTAGCCTGGGTAATTTTTTGAATTTTTAATCCAAAATTACAAAAATATTTTATGCAAAATAAAAAAAAGGTGTAATAATTTTTTATCCTCAAAAGCAATTGTTTTGTCAATACAAGCAGAAAGTTTTTTAGATCATTCAAATCGAACGCTTAGTTCAATCAAAAACTGCCATTTTTTGCACATTTAGCTCTTTTTTTTGCCTTTGCCAAAAATTAATCACCTCTTCTCCCAATCATTACAAATTGAATGTTTTTAGATCATTCAAATAGGATACTCCGTTCTGCCTAAAACTGGATTTGTATTTTCTGCACCCTTTGCCCCGTATCTCCGTAACGGCTTGGCCTGCCTTTGCCAAAAACTAATCAGCACATCTCCCTATCAATAGGAATCGAATGTTTTTTGAACCGTTTAAATCGGTTGATCCGTGCGCCCGAAAACGTTGAGGAAAAAATGCGGACATACAAAAACACACACACGCACACATTCATTTAGTTTCTGAAGTATGCCCCTTAAAAATGTTCAGAAACCTTCAAAACGTCGAGAAATGCAAAAATTTTCATTTTCGATTTTCGGCTCATTACTATAACTACCCTACGGGAAGTTAATAATTATAATTATATATATATATATATATATATATATATATATATATTATATATTGATAGTCTAGTAATCGGGCATAACATCAATAAAAAACTTGAATTTCTTTCAAAAATGCATTTAAAATCCATACGTTTCGGCTATAATCCTAGCCTTCATTCAGTGGAAACTAAAAATAAAATTAAAAACTAAAAACAATTGAATTGGAGTGAAAAGAAAAAATAAAATAGTAAATAGTACTTACAATTCGTTTTTTTTATTAGTTTATAATACATAGTGTAGGGCATTACCATATCTTGAAACCATGTATTATTAAAATTTTCCAATTTAACACTAAGATTAACTAATTTTTCTACTGAATGAAGGCTAGGATTATAGCCGAAACGTATGGATTTTAAATATATTTTTGAAAGAAATTTATGTTTTTTATTGATATTATGCCCGATAACTAGACTTTGTTAATACACATGTCAACATCAAATTCAGAATCACACACACAATATATATATATATATATATATATATATATATATGTATATATATGTATATCTACCTACCCTCCAACCCCTGTTTTTCGGAGATTTATACGATACAAGATACGAAATTCCTAAAAGAGACATCAAATATTTTCGTCAGGAATTTATTGGCGTCGACTTGACACTCACAACACAGTGCCACTCTCACTCTTTTATTCTGTGCCACGTGATCCGGCAGCACCCTACACGAGTCAGTCACAAACCCCCCCTGGATTCTTGGATAACACATATTTATGTGCGGAGACACCCCGAGACATCTAACAGGGGCGCCCCTTTGTGATACATGTCATATCGTATTATATAGACACACACTTGTATAAATACGATGTATATATATATATATATATATATATATATATATATACATGTATATGTATCCATCCCTAAGCCCTTGGCATCCCTAGTTTATAGTTCACTTTTTAACATCCCCAAGGAGAATTTTATGTTCTCGCCAGAATATTCGATTAGAATAAAATTTTATGTTTTAAGTCATTCTGAATCGTTTGAGACAGAAAAAAATCTTGAGGGTAGACGTAAACTAAAATATAACTTTTATTCAGCCACCTTATTCTAAAAAAATTGCTCACCACTTTGGTCTTTTTTTTAGGGTTTCTTTCATTAATTTTGCTCGCCAGTAGAGTTTTTTTTTTATTTGTCGGGTCCTTCCAGTCCTTTTTTTTAAATTATGCCTTTTTTGCAAAAAATTGCTTGTCAACAGGGTCTTTTTTACAGTTCTCTTTAAATTTGCTTGTCAGTAGAGTTCTATTTTATTTGGTCATAAACGAACTCAGTCAGTACAATCCTCTTTTTGTCTTCTAGATTGCTAAATAATTTACTTGTCAGTAGAGTCCTTTTTAAAAATTTTGTCTTTTTTGCCATAATTTGTTTGTCAGCAGAATTCTTTTGTACAATTCTGTTTAAATTTGCTCGTCAGTAAAGTCGTATTTTATTTGGTTGTAGACTAAATCACTAGTCAGTAGAATTCTCTTTTTGTTTTCTAGGTTGTTTGATAATTTGCTCTTCAGTAGAGTCCTTTTTTAAAATTCTGTCTTTCTTGCCTAAATTTGCTTGTCAGCAGAGTTCATTTTCATAATTCCTGCAACTCTTCAAGTTTGCTCTTCAGTAGAGTTTCTTTTTTAAATTATATTTTTTTCTTTTGAATTTGTTCGTTAGTAGAGTTCTTCCTTGCATCAGTTTGCTTATTTTATTTTCCTCGACATTTCAAGTCATTCTCATTCGTTTGACATCAGAATTCGAGGAACTGTATGTGTGAGGTAAATTGTTACTTTACGTCAACATTTCAACAGTTTGTGTTAGAACGCAACTTTAGTCTATAACTTTTAAACCATTCGATTGATATGAATGATGTATTTGGAAAATTTATATAAAATTAAATAATAAACTATATTGTAAAACATCAAAAAATCCTACTTCCACTTGGTATACCCATAAAGTGCAATAGAAATTAAAAATACAACGCTCACACGATATTTTATGCTAAAGTGCTTTTACATACGTATTCTGTCTATAACTTGTAAACCATTCGATTTGTATAAATGATGTATTTAGAAAAATTTGTACAAAACTAAATAATCTATAATATTGTCTAATATGAAAAGACTCTAGAACAACTAGGTACACTTATAAAATAAAACAGAAAATTTATATACAATTTTGACTTGTTATGTTTACGTGAGAATGCATTACTTTCGGATATTGTCTATAACTTCTAAACTATTTGATTTAGGTGCATGATGTATTCAGGAAATTTGTACAAAATTAAATAATCTATATTATTGTTTAACATGAAGATACTCTAGAGCAACTTGGTATACCCATAAAAAACAACAGAATGTTGGAGAACAATTTTGACTTGTAATGTTTACGTGAGAATGCATTTCTTTTAGTATATTGTCTATAACTTTTAAACTATTTGCTCAATATTGATGACGTATTAGACAGATTTGTACGAAATTAAATACATCGTAATATTCTTTAATTTAAAAATTATGTAGAACAACTCGGTATACCTGTCCAAGCTCCAAAAAATTAAAAAATAATCTTGACACGTTGTGTTTGTGTTAGAATGTATTAGTTGTGAAGTTTGTCCATAACTTTTAAAATATTTATTTAGTATAAATAATGAATTTGAGACTTGTGTTTAAAATTGAATGAGCTACAATATTGTCTAACACTAAAATATCCTACGTCAACTCGGTATACTCATAAATCGATACTGAACACATTTTTATAATCCTGTTGACCAAAACGCATTACTGTAGAATATCTACTATAACTCGCAAACTATTGGATTGCCAATAATGAAATATTTGCAAAATTTGTGCGAAATTGAATGATAAGCATTATTGTCAAATATCATAATGACCTGAATCAACTCGGTGTACTCGAAAATTGATATTGAATGCTGAAATATAATTCTGATGCGTTGTATTTTTGCCTAAACGCATTACTTTAGTACATCATCCATAACTTTTAAACCATTCGATTAAATTGAATGACGTATTCTGGAAATTTGCACAAAATTAAACAGTCTATAATACTGTCTACTACCACACATGTTGTTATTCAATCTATTTCCAGAGTTAATTTTCAAAGTGTAGGTGTTTTAATGAAAATCCACTTCGATTATCCAATTTCCGCGGCGGTCGCTTCCAATTCGAACAGGTGACCGCTTGACCGCCAAAAGTGCTGAAAATGCCCGCTGACAAATCGCATCAACTGCAAACAACATATTAGCGGTTTTCGATGTTTCGAATTCGAATTACCGACGAACGAACTAACAAACGGATTTGTGACAAAAACACACTACACTAGTGCTGGGGAAAAGGAGATAATAGAAATAGAACGTCGATCTTGGAAAATTGTACGATAATACAAAGTCAGACTTAAAGCCAAAGACTTCTTGGAAATATTTAATTGATTATTAAATTTTCAACAAATTCTCTAAATACGTCATTTACATTAATCGAATCATTTGGAAGTTAGAGATGATAAGCCAAAGCTCTAGCAAAAATATCGCTTCGATATTGTAATTTAAAATTCAGTTTAATTTTATGAGTATTTATAAAAATTATTTTAATTTATATCAATTAAATAGTTTACAAGATATACACGATATATAAAATTCATGCACTTTATTGTAAAATGGATTCTGTGTGTTTATTATTTAATTTTGTAAAAAAATCTCAATATATCATCCATATCAATCCAAAGATTTTAAAGAATTTTTAATGTATTTATTTAATTTCTACTATAAATATTTAAAACTACGTTTATCCCAACTATTAATTACATTTCCAACAAAGTTTTGATTAAATTATCTCGTCCTCTATTAATCAAAGTCAAAAATATAATAGAGAATATTCAAGATTGATTTAAAAGTGGCACTCTATATGCATAAAATAATGGAAATCTTGACTTAATATATTCAATAAAAAATTTCCAATCGATTTTAAATTTACGGACGCTAATGGAATTTTTATCGTAATCCGTCTGAAAGGAATTATAAAGAGAGTAATAATTTATTTGTGCACTCATTTAGTATATCTCTTGTAACTTTTAAACGGTTTATTTAATTTAAATAAAATATTTTGCAAATTTGTTAAAAATTTATTAATCTATAATATTGTCTATCATCATAACACCCTATAGCACCTCAGTATACTTTAAATTGCAATTAAAGCAAAAAAAAAACACTATGAACGTATTGCTAGTAACTTGTCCAACTAACTTAAGCAATTTGTGCATTCGTTTATTATATCTCTTGTAACTTTTAAACCGTTTGTTTTATATAAATGAGATATGCTGTAAATTTGTTCTGTAATAAATGATTTATCTACAGCAACTCAGTATACTTTAAAAATACATTTGAAACCCTAATACTATATTGCGTGTATTATTAGTGTCTTAGTTTTTAACGCTTAATTTGTGTATTTGTTTACTATATCTCTTGTAACTTTTAAACTGTTTATTCAATCCAAATGAAATATTATGCAAATTTATTGAAAATGAAATAATCTATAACATTGTCTAACATCATAAGACCCTACAGCCACTCGGTGTACTCATAAAACGCAACAGAAAACTAGAAAAATTTCAAGTTTTTTTAACTTCCCGTAGGGTAAGTTATAGTAATCGCAAAAAAATCGAAAATGAAAATTTTTGCATTTCTCGACGTTTCAAAACCTTCTGAACATTTTGGCATACCTTAGAAAAAATGGATGTATGTGTGTGTGTGTGTGTGTGTGTGTGTGTGTATGTATGTATGTATGTATGTATGTATGTATGTATGTATGTATGTATGTATGTATGTATGTATGTATGTGTGTGTATGTATGTGCGGATACAAATTTTCGTCGACGATTTTGGGAACACGGATCAATCGATTTGAATAATTCAAAAAACATTCGATTCGTATTGATAAGGAGACGTGCTGATTAGTTTTTGGCAAAGGCAGGTCTAGCCGTTCCGAAGATACGGGGCAAAAAGTGCCAAGAACGGTACCTCCGTTTTTAAGAGAACGGAGCGTCCGATTTGAATAATTCAAAAAACATTTTACTTGTATTGACAAGATGTAGAATTGATCAAATTTTCATGGAGGCAGGTCTAGCGGTTTCGGAGATCTAATGAAAAAAGTAAAAAATAATGCCATTCGGCGGTTAAAAATTATCCTTAGACATATGCACATCAAATTATCAGATATTTTATAGAGATTTTAACAATAAGTATATTTTTTTTTTACATTTTTATGGGTTCCGTACCAATGCTTACGCGTTAGACGGCGGCGCGGCACATGCGCGCTTTGACATTTCGTCTCTATGCAGTTCAAGCAGTGCGATTGCTTTGAAAAAAAGTTCAGAATTTCCAAAATATGTCAAAATGAAGAAAACATTTTTTTCAAAAAAATTTTTTGTATCCAAAAAAAAATTTTTTTTTCAAAAAAAATTTTTTTTTCATATAATTTTTTTTTTCAAAAAAAGTAATTTTTTGTCAAATTTATAGTTTCTCAGAAATCTTATTTTTTTTAATTAATTTTTTTTCAAAAATGTTAATCGTTTTTAAAAAAATAATAATTTTTGGTACGGGAAGTTCCAGCAATTTGCCTTAAGGCACGATGCCCTAATTGCCTTAAGACAGAATTCCACTTACAGCTAGTTTTTTTTCCTACGTGCGTGAATCTATATAAATGATCTTTCACGATGGCACTTAGCCAAAAAAGAGAAAATCCTTAATCATATTATAACCAAAAGCTTTTATCCTCCTCCGAATATAATAATGAGAGAAGACATTGCGAATATAACGTTATTGTTCGCATTTATATTATTATCCGGTTATAGTGACCTAAATAATATATGACACGGAAATAATATTGTTAGAATATTTATGAAGCGATGGCAAATATAAATATCGGAAATATAAAATACATAGAGCAGAATATTAAAGCGTTAAAGAGTCAATAGTCGATTTTATGATTGAGTGACATTTTAAAGTATATTTAATAGTTATAGAGTATTATGATGTTGAAAAATTTTATAGATCATTTACTTTTGAACATATTTGGAGAATATTTTATTTAAATTAAACCAACGGTTTAAAAGTTACAAGATATAATAAACAAATGTATGGATTGTTTAAGTTCGTCACTTCTAACACATTTAGTATTATTTCAGCTATATTTTTAAAGTATACCGAGTTGCTGTAAGATCCTATAATATGAGACAAAGTCATAGATTATTTAATTTTGCATAAATTAAGCAAACGGTTTAAAAGTTACAAGAGATATACTAAACAAATGCATCTGCGAGTACAATAGCCTCATTACTAAAGAACTTGACATTCGGTAAGAAAAATAGCAAATAAAATCAATTAGGACAAAAAAATTATAGCTTTCTAAATCCTCCCCCCAAGAGAGTTAAAGTGGTTATTATACCCAAGCATTATTGAACCCGACATACTCTGACAATAGACCTAGCCTGTGATGCCTAAATGCATTTTCTTCGCTATACAAAAACTTTTATACATAAACCATATCTAATCGGAAAATAGTGTATAAATCGATATATAAATATATTAATTTATACACTATAATATATCAATTTTTCTAATATACTGACCCCATATATAAATACCAAAACGTGTATAAATCAATATATACATGTATATATCCATTTTTCTAATACATACAGCCGATATATAAATACCTTGTAATATATAAATCAATATATAAATGTATATATCCATTTTTCTAATATACTGACATCATATATAAATGCCCTGTAGTGTATAAATCAATATATAAATGTATATATCAATTTTTCTAATATACTGACCCCATATATAAATACCAAAACATGTATAAATCAATATATACATGTATATATCCATTTTTCTAATACATACAGCCGATATATAAATACCTTGTAATATATAAATCAATATATAAATGTATATATCCATTTTTCTAATATACTGACCCCATATATAAATGCCTAGTAGTGTATAAATCAATATACACATGTATATATCCATTTTTCTAATACATACAGCCGATATATAAATACCTTGTAATATATAAATCAATATATAAATGTATATATCAATTTTTCTAATATACTGACCCCATATATAAATGCCTAGTAGTGTATAAATCAATATATAAATGTATATATCAATTTTTCTAATATACTGACCCCATATATAAATACCAAAACATGTATAAATCAATATATACATGTATATATCCATTTTTCTAATACATACAGCCGATATATAAATACCTTGTAATATATAAATCAATATATAAATGTATATATCCATTTTTCTAATATACTGACCCCATATATAAATGCCTAGTAGTGTATAAATCAATATACACATGTATATATCCATTTTTCTAATACATACAGCCGATATATAAATACCTTGTAATATATAAATCAATATATAAATGTATATATCCATTTTTCTAATATACTGACCCCATATATAAATGCCTAGTAGTGTATAAATCAATATACACATGTATATATCCATTTTTCTAATACATACAGCCGATATATAAATACCTTGTAATATATAAATCAATATATAAATGTATATATCAATTTTTCTAATATACTGACCCCATATATAAATGCCTAGTAGTGTATAAATCAATATATAAATGTATATATCAATTTTTCTAATATACTGACCCCATATATAAATACCAAAACATGTATAAATCAATATATACATGTATATATCCATTTTTCTAATACATACAGCCGATATATAAATACCTTGTAATATATAAATCAATATATAAATGTATATATCAATTTTTCTAATATACTGACCCCATATATAAATGCCTAGTAGTGTATAAATCAATATATAAATGTATATATCCATTTTTCTAATACATACAGCCGATATATAAATACCTTGTAATATATAAATCAATATATAAATGTATATATCTATTTTTCTAATATACTGACCCCATATATAAAGGCCTAGTAGTGTATAAATCAATATATAAATGTATATATCTATTTTTCTCATTGAATATATAAGCGGTATTTAGGCACGATTTTAGGGTATACCGAGTTGCTGTAGGGCATTATAACCTTTGACAATATTATACAGCATTTGATTTTGTATAAATTTCCCAAATACACTATTAATATAAATCAATTGGTTTAAAAGTTACAAGAGATATAATAAACAAATGCACCTACACGAGTCTACAATAGTGTCACTCATAAGCCTTATTACTTATATATAGCCGGTACTTAGATACGATTTTAAAGTATACCGAGTTGCTGTATAGTATTATGACCTTAGACAATATTATACAGCATACAATTTTGCATATATTCCCCAAACATACCATCAAAATCAATCAAATAGTTTAAAAGTTACAAAAGATTTTATAAACAAATGCACCAACACCTCAATTCACCTACTAACTATATCACTGATGGCCAAATGCAGGTTTCAAAAATAAATAAATCTATTTTTAATTTTTTTTATCTTTTTCCAGAATAGTCTATTCGATGATCAGACGACCGAGATGTCCCAGTGCCTCTGAAACATCAGAAGCTCCTCGCAGCAGCGCGAGGAGGAGACCCTAGTTTGAGGACCACTGGATAAAGGAAAGATTTTTACTAATTTAATTTAATATAAAAAAATTGCTGATGTGATTTGTAAGTTTAAGATAAAATTTTGAAAAAAATATGTTATTGGGCCTATTTTATATATATTTAGGGATTTTTTTAAAAAATAGGCTTTTTAGGGTACAAGATATATATTGGACAAATTTAACTGTTTCATTAGATTAATAAATATATATTAAATACTAAAATTATTTAAAGTACTCTTGGATATGATTTGTGCTCTTATTTCAACTTGAGATGATGATTTATTATATTAGATAATTATATAACAAAAATTGTAAAAATATTTTATCTTAAGTTAAAATAAAAGAGCAAAAATATTCGAGGGTATATATATGAAAATAAATATAAAATTATATATAAATATAAATATATATAGTAAATTTTATATAGTCAATATGTTTATAAAATTAAGCACAATTTTTTGAATATATATATATATATATATATATATATATATATAATTTAAAAAAGTGTGCATTGACGGTTTCTATTTAGAATAATTACTTAAAAAATAATTATAAAATGTATTAGGATAATATTAAATATATTCAAAATTTAATTATATATATATATAAATGTATATATATATATATATATATATATATATGCATATAAATATATATATAAATATATACATATAATAAAGTTCTTATTGTATCCACAAATTATATAAATATAATATAAATATAAATGTGAATATTTTTTATAAATAAAAAATTAATGCAATGTTATAAAAATTTAATTTATATATATATATATATATGATTTTTTTTATATTTTTGGTCATTTTATATGCAGTTGTTAATTTAAAATCATTTATTTAGAAAAAATAGTTTTAATAATTTTTTTAGCAGAGATTTACAAAGAAAGTCTAAAAGAAAAGTCTAAAGAAATATAAAAAAAATTTAGAGTTTTTTAATAGAAGTGATTTATATTTTTTAATATATGTTCTAAATATTTTTCTGGAAAACAGCAAGTACTTAAGAATTTTATAAAAATCGAAATTTTTGATAAAACACAAATGTTTTGAAAAGAAAAAAATCCTAAATTAAAACTACGATCGTTGGCATATATATAAACTAATTAACCTTTTTTTTATTTATTTATTTAATATATGCATAATTTTTTGGAAAATCTAAAACTTGAAAATTTATTTAGAAAATTGTGTAATTTATTCAGTCATTTTTTGCATATTTTCAATTTTTTTATCAAGAATATAAAATAATGCTCTAAAATAATAAAGTTTTATTAATAAATAATATATTTTAGAAGAGATTTAATAAATTAAATTAAATTTGCAAGACTAGTATTAAATTTGTTTATGAAAAAAATTGTATTTATCATATTCTTTGAAAAATTATATTAATAATTGTATATTAATGGCCAAAAATATATTAATATATATATATATATATATATATATATATATAATATATATCAACCAAAAATGCTTAAAACATTTTTGAGAACAAATATATATAATATATTATATAAATATATTTATATTTATAAAATAATATGTTTTGTGGCTGTTTGAATTAAAAAAAATGTCAATGGTTTCCAAAATTTTAAAGCACATTCCATATATCAATCATGCATATATCTATCTATTTATATATATATATATATATATATATATATATATATATAAAAGTCACTCAACATTTTTTTCTCTACTCCCAGAGCTCCGGAGTAGTTTAGAAAATTTATTGACTGACAAAAAAAATATTTTAAAAATATATTATATTTTTACCCACAATTTAGTACTTAAAAAACAATGTATATATTATATTATTTAATATTATATTACATACGAATGTATATATTATATTAAGATGCCCAATTTGTAGATGTTAAATGTTAATAGATTTAAAAAATATATTATTTTGCTTTGATATTAAAAACAACTTGTTTAGGAAATAATTATAAAATATATTGTAATTATAAAAAAATATTATATTAATATATATGATATATATAATTATATTAACAATGATTTAAAAACAAATGTTTGCTTTAATAAATGTATTTTATTGATGATTTATGAAAGTTGAATAAAAGTATTTGGATTTATATTATTTGCAGTGCATTTATTTATTGTATGTCTTGTAAGTTTTAAACTAAAAGTTGGATGTATATGATATATTCAGCAAATTTGTACAAAATTTAAGTGTCTTCAATATTGTCCAATATTATAATGCTCTACAGCAACTCGGAATACTTTAAAATCGTATTTGAATAAGAGTAATTTTTGGCGTGTGATTTTATGCACTTGCTTATTTGTAAGTTCCAAACAGTGAACTAGGAAAATATTCAGCAATTTTGTACAAAATTAAATTTTCTCTAATATTGTCTTATATTGTGATATCCTACAGCAACTCGGTGTACTTTAAAATCTCATTGGAATCAAGAAAATTCTTGCCTGCGTGACAAAAGTGTATATTACATCAAAAAATATTTTATCAAAGCATTATTTTTAATGCAAGTAACTAAGTGCTATACATTTCAAAAAAAACCATTCACTTTTGGTGAATTTCACAAAGTTTAAATTTCGAATTTGAATTTCGCGCTTTAAATTGTACAAGAGGTGACAGTCATTCTGACACATGTTGACAACTTCAATTGTCAAAGAAACTTTCGTGGATTACCATGCGGTCGGGTTAATTAACGTTTTTTAATTAAATCCTTGATTAGTTTTAATTAATTTATGCATCAAAACGTGTAATTAATTTAGTAGATCGATTTGATATAATAAATTTATCGTGAAACGTTAATTAAAAGCCGAAAAAATGGATATGTGGGGAAGTGCCTAAATGTACCTTGAATAGTTTTATAAGCATCTTTTTCAGGGCCTCCATTTTAAATCAATTTTATAATTAAACAATTCATTCACAGCGCCAATGTATCCTTTAATTATATACATGTCATTATCAATAGTATAATTTATATATGTGCTGTTGTAGGTTATTAATTCATTTACAGCGCCAATGTATCCTTTATTTATATATATGCAATTGTAAAATGTATAATTTATATTTGAGTACTTCCAACACATATCTCTTTATTATCGAATTCTAAATTCACGAAAGTCTCTAATGTAAGTCGTGTGTCGTGTATTGTGTAAAGACTTTACTCGGATAGTTGCAATAAGTCGAAGAGACATGTAACGAACAAAGTTATGTAGTGGTTCTAAAGTAGTGATTTTGTGTCGAGTACTTGAGATTTCTGGCAGATGCTCCAGAGGTGGTTCGAGTAATGAATTAGTGTTCTGGGAGCTGCTGCAGAGGATTTCTAACAATGTAAGTGCAAAGCATGTTTTATACAGAGTCAAAGATTATATTTCTGATATATACAGACATTTATCATACTACATCTGATATGTAGTACTTTATTTTAAATATTCAATATTTAATTCTTATGTGTGTACATATATATATAAGGCGAGAGGTTTTTCTTCAGATGGTGAAATAATATGATAAAATTGTTCTTGGGCATCCATTCAGTAATTAAAAACAGTTTTATTGAAAGGAAATGTTTTTATTTATTTAATTTATTAAATTGGTTAGATTCATGCTTTTTTACATGTTTTCATTTATATTTTTCTGTAATTATGTATTTTTTATATAGTTTTAAATTGTAATCCTGAAATATTTAATTGTAGCACTGAAGATGGGTCAAATCAAGACCCTAAACGTATGTTTCCATAATAAAAACATTTTCCTTTAATAAAACTGTTTTTATTTACTGGATGGATGTACAAGAACAATTTTATCATATATATATATATATATATATATATATATATATATATATATACGCATAAGAATTAAATATTGAATATTTGAAATAAAGTACTACATATGCAGTATATATACATTAAGTTTTTCTTATTTTTGAATTTAAAGCAGTTGAATAAATTTGAAAATCTTTACTTCAACACAATATATTAAGTCATCTTTAGTGAAACTATAATTTCAATAGAAATAAATAAAAAGATATTACTCATAATTTATTTACTGAAAAAGGTTTACAATTAATGACCGAGTTTGTTTTACATGCTACTTTTTATGCTTGTAATGATAATATTACTTATATAGTTATGTATTAAATGCTTGTTTTTCATATTAAATGAAATTAATTGAAAGTTGCTTTGAGAACTTTTGCCTTTCTTATCCGATATCATTTATAAAGCAGCCTGTATATATTTTAGTGAAATATTTTCTGGCTCATGCATTATTAATATAGTTGTATACATATATCTGCTGAAAATATTGTTTATTCTATTATATTCGCGTCGATATCATTTTCTTTAATAAGATATACTTTATTAATTTTTAATGCATAAAATGCAATATATTCTTTGTTTATTCAACTACAAATATTATGCTAACAAAAGATTTTAAATTAATTTGGCAGACATATGTATAAAAGATTATGTTCATATTTAATTTGTTATGGGGAAAACATGTTGATTCAGTTTTTTTAATTTACTTATCAATTAAAATTTTATGAATGTTTTAAATCAATATAAAAGATAAAAGTTTGTACTTCTCGTATGTATCAAAGACATTGAAAGTAATTTATATTATTACAATTCCATAATAATATTCCACCAGAAATTCTTTTGTTCTATAACAACACTATGAGCTGATAAAATATTATGTAGAATTCAAAATTCTTATATATTTAATTTTTGTTACCAAATTATTAGTTAACCAATACAGTTTTTGTTTGCATCGACTACTTATTTGTTGAAGAGGTCTTAGCATCCTTCCTTAGGTAACTCCTAAATTGATGGTATTTTGTTACAAATTACAAATTTCTTTATAAAAAATCTCTTTTTTTGTCACACCTCTTGTTCATTATTATACAGAAAAAATATTTGTATTTGTATTTGACATTTCCAGTATCAGAATCATGTGTTTTCCCTGTAGCGATATTGACTGCATGTGCATTCTTATTTATGGATAACACGATTGTTGGTTTTGATCAAATTATTTCACATATTCAATACGACTTACCAAATTGTTAATTAAATTCAGCTTTTAAAATACTTTTACTGTAATTTTATTTTAAATAATTGCTGCATAGCAAAATTATAGATTTTTATTCTTTTATTGCTAAAACAATTTTGATCAAGACTTGCAATCAAAGTTTCAAAGAGTTGACTTGAATGATTAGACAAATCATAATTTTGTTTACAAGTTTATTATTCGATTCAAGTAGTAAAAATTATTTAATTCGATTTACAAAGGATAACAATCAGCTTTAAACAGTTTTGAAGTTTTTAACGTTCAAGTTTTCGAACATTTTTCATTATTTCATTTTACATGTTTTATTGAATTTCTTTTATGGCTTTTTCTAATAATTTGTATATTATTCAAGTCAACTAAATTTGTTTTTGTCTCGATTAATTGTAAAGGTTTCACATGTTTTATCAAGTCGTACAAACAATTTTAATTCGATTAATATCATTTCATTTCATCGATTAAATAAATAATTCTCTCGAATATTTTTTTTTTCTAAGTCCAAATTTTCTGATTATAATTCTTTCGAATAATTTTTTTTTTCTAAGTCCTTTCAGATATTTTTTTTTTTCTAAGTCCAAATTTTCTGAAACCTTTTCAATTAAGACAGACGAGTTATTTATGCATGCTATGTCATCCCAAAGCCAACATTCGAATGAATGAGGCTCACATTGAATATTTCACAATGAGAAAATTTTATTGGGGCAAAGTTAAATATTTTAACTAAGTCCCAGTAATTTTTTCTCGTTGTGAAAATTTCAACGTGGACTTTATTTCATTCGAGTGTTGGCTTTGGGAATTGGTGTGAGGGAACACTAAAAACCATAAAAAAGTTTCAACGCTGAACAGAAAAGAGAAAAATTGATCTGGGACTTAGGGGGGTTTTTTTTAGGTCCTTCCCCTCCCCTTCCTCCTCCTCCTCTTTCCCCTTTTTTTCCCTTTTTTCCGCTTTTTTTCACATTTTTTTTTCCTTTTTTGGTGTTTTTTCTCGCATGTTGTGGTTTTTGGGTAGATTTTTGGGTTCGGCATGCATCTTCCACAATGTGTCTCTCTGCGTGTGACCTCTCGCATCATGGACCTCTGGTTGACCATCACTTGGTGTGTTCGTTTCAGGACCCTTTGCGCTCGCCAACAGCCGTTCACCAGCACTGCTCCATTTTTTCTGCTTCAGAGTTCCTTGTCGTCGCCTTCAGCTGGACTCGATCCACTTCACCTTCTGCCTCCAGAGCGATTTCACCGAGTATGCGGTCCCTTAAACCACTCGGCTATTTAAGTTATTGATGATAAAAGTTATTTTTATTCCTATATTATATTAATATTGAATATTAATAAAGAATATGTATCATACACATCTCTCTTATTCATCATCTGCCTCTACCCCTCTCTTTCCCGAGTTATTTCCTCTACCTTTTTTTTCTTTTTTTTTTTCTATGTATCTCTCTTACAGTCAAGTGCGAAACTTGAGTTTTTTGTTTTTCAGAAATATTCTAAGTGTCAAGGTCGAAATGCGACACCTGAATTTAATATTTTGAACTAATATTTGATAATTATGAAAAACTATACATTCGAATTTTTCAAGCAACTTGAGGATTCGAACCGAGATACAATGAGCTACCGTAGTGGTCACTTAACGATCTCGGCCAATTGGTTTTACGAAACCGTTGTCTTTTGTAAAAATATAAAGTGTTATTTTCAAACTGAAAGATATAAGTTCCCTAAAAATGTAGTATGCCAAATGTGCGAATGGCCGAGGTCGTAAAGATACGATTCAGGCCAGAATATCAATTCGAGTTTCGCCAGTTCGAACCCCATTTAACTGAAAAAAATATTTGGAACCAATAATTTTTCAAACTGTGTAAATAAATAAGACATATAGATGGAATTAAATTTATTGAGTGTCAGTATTACAAAAATCGACATAATGTATATATATATATATATATATATATATATAATATATAAATAAATATATATATATATATATATATATATATATATATATATATATATATATATATATATATATATATATATATATATATATATATATATAAAAGATAAGAAAAAGTAGGAGGATAATTTTTAATAAATTTATATTTACGCCTGGTTAGCAGTAAACCAAACCTACTTTGGTGTAATTTAAAAATCTTATTATTTTTTCGATAAAAAGACAGTCTATCAGGAGCAGCCAAAATTGGCCAAAATCGTGACTTTCAAATGCAATTTTAAGGCACTTAATGAATGAAATTAATAATTTTAATTAATGCTTTGTGTAGACTAAAGTACAATCTTTATACCAAACCAAAAAAATACAAATTTATCATCGTCTTCATAGTTAAAATCAGCTTCAAAGTTGGCAATTTTTCAAACTTCAATTTGGTACCAAGGGCAGAAGAAATTTTTTTTCCAAAAACTAATTTCATATTCGGAATCAGCGCCTCGAAAACTATCAGAATCGGTCAAAACATTTTGAAAATCGCGAAAAAAAAGTTTAATTTCATTAGTAAAATTTTGGTTTTGCTACCAATGATTTCGATTTTCGGAGGGTGTATGTGGATTTATCCAAAAACGGATAATATTTTCGAAAGCGTCCCAAAATCAATCAAAACCAATCAAAACATTTTGAAAATCGCGAAGAAAGCCGATTTTTTTTAAAGAAAAATTGATTTTGCAACCAAAGATTTCGATTTTTCGGGGGGATGTATGTGGGCTTATCCAAAAATAGATAGCATTTTTGAAATCAGCGTTCGAAAATCTTTTGGAATCAGTAAAAACATTTCCAAAATAGCGAAAACAAATCTATTTTTTTGCTAAAATTCCGATGTTGCAACCAAAGTTTTTGTTGTTTTCCAGTGGAACACGCCCTGAAAGCTCATCAAACAGGATGATTTCGTCCTTGGTGTAATAAAAAATCATCCAAAAACTTTGTCCAATAAGTTCTTGATCATAAATGTCCTTTAGTGTAGGGGAGACCCAGATTTTATGGTTCCTGTTCCTATAAGTGCATAAGTACCTGTGAAAAGAATAAATATTCATTCTAAGGGTATACATTTAAAATAAGATTACTTGTTACTTAATACCAGACTAGTAACAATAAGTAAGCTTTGAATATTTTATTTGAAAGTAAAACCACAAAAACTCGGTGAAAAAATAAAAACATTTGAATAATTTGTAGGTACATCATTTATGTTAATCGAATAACTTGATATCATTTCCAAAGTTAAAAAAAAAGCTCTTAAAACAATCCATGGATAGTATCCATGGATTCAACTTCAAATAAATCATTTATTATAATCGAACAATTTGATATCATAACTGTAGTTTTAACAAAATCACGGATAGCAGTCTATGGTTTTAATATGATTTATGATCTATAATCTAAATCTATATTTAGATAATAAATAAATAAATAAATAAAATAAATAAATCTAAATTTTATCTATTCTTTACTAATATAAATAAATTGAAATGCCTAGAACAAAATTTTCAAGTTGTTTGATAAAATGTAGACAGACACAAATTCGCGATCCGGTTAAAAATTATACGAAAATTTAGTTTCCAAATATATATACTACTTTGTACTAAATTTTAGTTAACAAAATTTTCAAGTTATTTGACAAAAACCAAACAAATGTCCCAAATTTTCTATTAAATACTGAAGAATATGAAAGATTTTTCTCTCGAATTTTCTATTGATTTACAAAGAATAATGTAAGATCGAATTCAAAGTGATTTTATTTCAAACATTTATATCACCTACTGTTCGACTTACATTTGTCGACTTGATTATTAAACATTTATTTAATTGATTATTAATTTTAAAACACATTTGAAAATGAACCTGTCACAACTGACATCTTTAAACCAACTGTCAAGTTTGACGTTTGACTTTTGGCATTTCTAACCTCAAACCAATATAGTTTAAATTTGATGTTTAGAGTAATAAATTCATGTATTAAAAAGTGTTTTGGACTTGAATAAATATTACAATGTAAGCAGAAAATATATTTAATTAGAATTATGCCAATAGTTTGCTAAAATATTTATAAATACATAAACCTAAACCACTTTTAATATGTTAAACGTTATTGGGTACTTACCTAGAACATATTTTTACACTAAACACACTTTAACTTTAAACATATTTAACTTTGTGACTTGTAAATTTATTATTATTATAAAGAAACTTGTCCAAGCAAGGCTCAGCACAAACTGATAAATTTATTTTAATAATTCTTAACCCAAAAATTAAACATAGAGTATAAAATATATATTCATAGACTGGTAACATAGTTTTAGTATTATAGTTTTTCAAAATTAGTATATTTTTTTATAAATCTTTTTCCAAGGAAACGTACAGCAGCAGCAGCCGAACGCAACAAGGAACCAATTCTTGAAGTACTCAAAAAGTACATTTCAAACACCGCAGGATACTTCCTGGAAATATCCTCCGGCACCGGTCAACACATTGCACATTTTGCCCCAAACTTTCCCAATGTAACATTCCAACCTTCTGAGTACGATAAAGATATGATGTGCAGCATACACGTATGGGGTGAGGAATGTCCCACAGAAAACGTAAGATAAAAGACTTGTTCAAACTTTGTATTAGCACTCAGCAATTATTTTTTGTTAGGTCAATCCTCCTTTGAACATCGATGTAACCCAACACTGGACCAAATGGCCCCATTCACCAATGTTTATTAAAAACAATATTGATTACATCTACAATGCAAATATGATACACATCTCACCAATATCTTGTACAGAAGGTCTTTTTTCCAACTCAGGAGAGTTATTAAAGCCCGATGGTCTTTTGATCACTTACGGGCCTTATGGACAAAACGGGGTGATTTCACCTGAAAGTAATGTCAGGTTTGATGAAGGCTTAAGGATGCAGAATCCTGAATGGGGTGTGAGAGATATTGATCTTTTGAAACAAATGGCAGGGAGACATGGCATTTGTTTGTCGGAGATTATTGGGATGCCTGCTAATAATAAAGTGCTGATTTGGAAAAGGAATAATGGAAAGGAATTGTGAAGATAATGTTGATAATATATTTTTATACATTGGATGGGATTTGGTTTCATTTCTTGACTAGGAGGAGTTTTTTATTTGTTGTGGATTGTCTAGAAAATTTTTGTTAATTGTCTGAAATTGTTCTTGATGTCCTAAAATCCACATAGTCTTTCTAAATATTAAAATTGCATAGAACGAAGTTTGTCCACAATATAATTTGTAAAGAAAGAAATGAAATCATCCCACAATCTAATTTTTTTACACAATTCTAATATCTACTTAATTTTTGTTACACAAATCTTAGTAAAATAAAAATAAATTTTGAGGTAGCTAAAGTGTTTTGATATGGAAGTTATGGCAAATTAAACCATATGTTATTGCATAATAGAGATGTAAATATCCAAACAAATCCAGCCTAAAAATTATAAAGTGCACAAAATACAATGATATACTTAATACATAAAGTAAATAAACAAATTTTCAAAAACACAATTAAAGAAAAAATGACGAATTATCAAACATTACTCACAGATTTTTTTAAATGTTAAAGAAAAAAAGAAAAAAACGTCTAAAATGGTTTGAAATTGTTGCAGATAGTCTGATAATGTTGCAAAGTGTCTGAAAATGTTATAAATTATTTGAAAATGTTGTAAATTGTCTGAAAATGTTAAAAATTGTCTGAAAATTGTACATATTGCTTGAGGATATTATATATTATCTGAAAAAATTATAAATCTGTTCACTTTTTTGTGAAATTCTTGTAAAAAATTTTAGTCATTAAAAATATCTTTATTCAGATTTCTTAACTCCAAAATTGTTAATTATAGTCAATGCAATAAATTGTGAATTGTGATTTTGATTTAAAGAAATGATACGAGTTTACTAAAAATCGATTTCTATTTTCTACTATTTTCATTTAGATGTTAAAAAGTTCTATATAATGATATAGGTATATAATTATTTGGAAAACCTCCACTATCAAGGATTTCTCACATAAGGTTTTTAAATGCTAAAAAAAAAAGAAAACGTCCTAGATGGCTTGAAATTGTTGCAGATGGTCTGAAATCATTTTGTAGATGGTTTTTAGACTGCCTGATGTAGTTCTAGATAAACATTCAATAGTTTTTGAGATATACAAAGTTGATGGGTGGCAGGCACCGCTCTCAATACTAGTTTTGACCTGTTTTCTTTGAAACAGATTGTACGTTTTCAAAAATGCATAATTCGATTTTGATGAAACTTGACACACATTGTTATTACACTTTACTAAATATTTGACAAAAGATTAAAGTTGAAACATTCAATAGTTTTTGAGATATGCAAGGTTGATGGATGGCTGGCTCTGCTCTCAATACTAGTATCGAAACAGATTGTATGTTTTCAAAAATGCATAATTCGATTTTGAAACTTGACACTCATTGTTACTGCACTTTACTAAATATTTGACAGAAATATAAAGTTGGAACATTTAATAGTTTCTGAGATATGCGAGGTCGATGGGTGGCAGGCACCTCTCTCAATACTCAATATGTTTTCAAAAATGCATAATTCGATTTTAATAAAACATGACACACATTGTTATTACACTTTACTAAATATTTGACAAAAATTTAAAGTTGAAACATTCAATAGTTTTTGAGATATGCGAGGTTGATTGTACGTTTTCAAAAATGCATATTTCGATTTTGATGAAACTTGACACACATTTTTATCATACTTTACATATGTAATGCTTTTCTTTACTTTCTGAAAAATTCTCAATTTGGATATTTCTCCTAAATAATAAAAAATAAATTCTGATTTGTTAATAATATAGTTAGTCTTAAAAAAAATAATATGAGCTCACTAAAAACCAATTTCTATCCTTTACCATTTTCATTTAGATGTTAAAAAGTTCTTAATGAAGGAAAACAGTAATAATAGTAGCTAAATATATTATAAAATCACTTTAGTTAATTATTATGAATAACCTGGACAAGAGCTTAAAAAATAAATTCATAACTAGCATTGTAACTACCTTTATAAATATGCAAAAACAAAATGAACTGATAAGTTATCTTAAATTTATTTCATTAGTTACCTATTATTAAAAAAATAAACATATCGACATAATTACTAAGCAGTCCATTTGAGACATCTGGTATCTTGATGCGTATTAAGACATTTCACACAGCAATAACGACTGCCACAAGTTGTGCAAGTGTAGTTACTTGGAAATCCACAAACCGCACAGAAATGTCTGTCCGGTTTTTCTGAAGGCTTTGCTACAGCAGTAGAATAGTTAATTTCGTTTGTCAATTTGTCATCTTCTATCATTTGGGCTAGAGACTTACGAAATCTAAACATAAATAGAAATAGAAATATATAAATATATAAATATAAATATATAGATATAAATAGACAATAAGGTTGGTATACCTTGTTTTATAATATTCTGCACTCTTAGACTTCTTCTTCCTGGTTTTATTATCCAAATTATCCTGAAACTTTGGCACTTTCTTAGACATAACCAAATCCGCATGCGGATCATCATGAAAATTATCCTGCTCCAAAGCTTCTAAAGCCTTTCTAGCTCTCCGCTGTCTACTGACATCATCCAAAACCCTCTTCTTCTCCACATCTCTAATTCTACCAGACTCTCGAGACATTTCAAACAGAAACTACAAAGTTTTTTAGTATTTACAATCCTTTTTCGTGCAACGGGAAGCTGATTTGGTCCATCAAATCATCAATTTTGGATTGTAGGGTTTCTAGAATATCAGCGGAGATGAAAACGTGGGTTTCGTCTAAGTCTTCAATTATGAATCTTGATCCTAGGGCTTGGGTTTCGTCTAGATGGAGGAGGAATTGTTTCATAGCCTGATCACTGGAAAAATAAACTTTATGTATAATATTGATATCATTCTCGTAGAAAACATTAACATATGTGGGAGTTATGCATAGAAACTAAACATACACGTTAGTGCTTTAAATAAATTCTATAAATAAATTATTCATACAATATTTGAGGTTATGTTAACACAAATGTCATAAATATTTAAAATTTTGCTTTAAACATTAGCAAATGCTTGTTGATGTATTTATATACAATTACAATACATAATAAAAGCTTTATGCTGTATATTAACACCCACAAATGTTAAAATAATTTAAACATGGATATAAGTAAAAATTTCTTACCATTCCACCAAGACTCCTTTTTTTAAATTAACCATTTTAAAGTGATCTCACATTGAAGATATGTTTAAGCAATGCCTAAAGATTAAATAATATTATTTAGCACTTTATTATCAACAGTTTCACGAAAAAAACAATTAAATAATGAAGGTTAAATAATTATTGCATTTATTTGACGTTTCTTTGTCGTCTGAACCATACTGAAGTTAGAAACGTCGCCATTTTTCATGTCATTAAAAAAATGGCGCAAAATTCAAATTTCTGTACGAAACTTTTGAAAATAAGATAAATGTAAATTTTTCTTAATAAATAACAATATATATATATATATATATATAATACATACAGCATATACATACAAAAATTTTACAAATAGGTTTCAACAACTTGCAAAAGCCTAATTTAAATAAATACAAATCTAGATAAAGAATTTTGCTTGATAGAATAATATATAGATTTAAAATTAAATTTTGCTGAATGAATATAAATATATAAAACCAGAATACAATAAAAATACATCAAAGTAAGATTCAAAAAACGTAGAAAATTGTTTAAATACATATATATTAATATTTTACTATTAAAAAACTCTTGAAATATGATTATATTAATAATAACAATAAATGAAAGTAAAGTAGTAAATATTTTATTTAAAAATATTCACTAAATTACTTCTCCTTAATATTGTAAAAATGTGCCTACTAAATTAATTAAAAATTATATTTAAAAATTATTTAGACCAAAAACTGTATTTTCTATCCGGCCTGAAAAATTATAAATAAATTGCAAAACTCATCATCTACTCAATTATACATTTTTTATTTTTTTATCAAATTATGTACAAAATTTATACAATAAAAAAGTAACTTAAAATTTTTAATTTACACATAAAAATAAATATGCTAGCTATTTTCTATAAAAATACCAAAAAAACTATATGAAATAAAAAACTATACAAGTATTTTAAAATTTCATATCGATTTACCAACATCACTAACCATAATAATCTATAATTAATTAATTAATTATATATAAAAAAATATACAAGAGTTTTTTAATATCAAGCACCGTTTATCAATTTCATAATCGGAGCAGATATTAAAAAACTCTAAAATTTATAATTTTTTTAAAACTATTGCATATAGATTTTTTTGAAAATTTCTAGTTATCACTGTTGAAAAAATCGTTTTAGTATTTAATATATTTTATTTATACCAATATTTTGTTTTACTTAGCTGTTGTTTTTATAAACATCACATGTTAGCTAAGAATGTTGATTTTTTTTGTTAATTTTTTGACCGAAATATTTACATGGAAGTTTTAAATAAATAAAACTACTTAAAATATAAAACAAAACTTATAGAACTAAAAGTTAATGAAGAAATAGTCTTGGAGAAAAAATATGGTAGAAGAAAAAATAGACAGAAACATGTAAAAATTATTTATGTATATATAAATATATATATATATATATATATATAATATTTATAAATATATTGTCATATGTTTTTGCTACCAAAAAAATTCTAAAAATTGCAAATTGATATTTTTCAAGTATTTCAGAGAAATGATTTTTTTAAAGTCATTCTATAAATTTTTGAACAAAAGCTTGCAATTTTTTGCAAATTATAATTTATACATATATACTGAATCTACATTTTTATAATTTGCAAATATAATAAGATTTAATGTTATAAGCAAATATTTATTTACTATTTTTAAAATATTTTTATAGAAGGTTTTTTTAAACAAAATGACCAATGAATTAAATAAATTTTTCTTCTTAATAAAGTGCAACAAAATAATGTTTTTAATTATTTATTCTGATTTAAGAGGTGCTCAGAAGTATTAAAAAGTTGTAAATGATTTTTTTAACAATATTTTTGCTGTAAATTTCATTTGTGTTAGTTACAAATTTGTCGAATATTTTATTTATTTTACTCAAACCGTTTAAAAGTTACAAGAGATGCAATAAATAAATGCATAAATTGACAAAAGTCCTGTTAAAAATTTGAAAACTAAAAATTTGAAAACTAAAAATTTGAAAAATTTAGGGTCTTCAATATAGATGTTTTGATTCATAAAAATTGCATGTTTAAATATAAAATATTACGATATATATACTTCAAAAAATATTAAACAAATATTGTAACGTACAAAAAAAGCAGTTTTAAGGGTCATTGTGACCCTAAGTCAAAAAAACGTAGGTTATTTTGTATCGTGATTTAAAAACCTTTGAACAACAGAAAACTTTGAGTATTTTAATTGAAAAAAAAGATTAACGTTTATATATAAAATTGTACAAAATATATATTCGAAAAACTAAACATTTTGGGCTCATTTTGATATTACAAAATATTAAAAATAAAATAGCAAATTTCTATTTGTATAGTAATCTAAAGTCCCTAAAAGAAGATATTCAACGTTAATAGGAAAATATGTACATTTCGCAAAATATATATTTAAATAATTAACAAAAAATGTATTTAATAAAACTTTTAATCAGAAATTTAGATTGAATTAAAAAGTAGGTTGTCGATGATTATATTAAAGTATTTCATATTAATAAAATACTTCATGTTAATTATTGTAATTACAAAATTGCATTTAATCAAATTTGTTAAATATGGTAAATAAAAATATAGAAAAGGAGCAACAAAATATTAAAAAACATCCTTGAACAAATTATAAGGGTCATTTTGCATATGATAGCAAATTTTGCATTTTAACGTATGATAATATATTTTATAATTATATATATATATATATATATATATATATATATATACATACATATATATATATATATACATAAATAATTTTTACCATTACCAGATTAGTAGGTACCTATCATTACCCTCAATTTTCATCTGATTATGACTGCAAGCTGTGATTGATTGATTGATTGATTTTTTTAATCAATTGGTGATGATTTTTTCTGATTATTTGTTTATTTTTGTTTTTTGAATATTTTTGTTATAATGATGATTTAGATGATGGAGGTGATCAGACGAGCCTTGAAGTTGACTAGTCTTTCACTTGTGGCGGCGGCGCGCTGAAACGAGATAAATAAAAAATATTTAGGGGATGATTTAGTAATAATATTTATTTAGGAGGTAATAAAAAATGTTGAGAAAATATGGATAGAAATAAGAGCTTGAGGTTCTAAGAGAAAAAATATCATATGACTTTGAATTTGACCTTTCATTTTCTTAAGCATTTAATAGAAAATTCAGGACATTTTTTTTGGTTTTTGTCAAATAACTCACAAATATCATATGAAAGCACCATTTTTCAGTTAGATAAGGAGAAACTGGATAAAATTTACTACGATTCCATGCCAACAGTTATATAACCCCCGATATAAAATTTTGGAATGAAACGACTTTGAATTTTACACAAATCCCAAAATGTTCAGGAAGTTCCTTCGTCGATATTGAATGTCCTCTTCTTCAAAATGTTTGTAAAGTTGAAGTTAAAATTTTATAATATAAAGTATTTTTCAATGTTTTGTTAGTTTGTATACTTTGTAATTTTAGTCTTTCAAAAGTCAAAAATTATTCTTTTACTATAATTAATATATTATTAAATTTTTATATCCTGAAGAAGGGGTCATCCCAGAAAATGCAGTAAATTTGTATTCGAAGATGGTTTCATCAAAATGTTTTTAAATATTACTAATAAATATAAGTCTATCATAATTGTTGTGTTGTTTAAGTTGGTTCTTGTCACAAGTTTCAACGTCAAGTCAACTTTTACCAAATTTTACCAATTTTTTTTTTACTAAATTTTTCCTCCATCATCAGATCAGTCGCTGATGAATTGTATGAAAAAAAAAGTATAAAGAAGCAAATAAAAAAAGCAAATTAATGGTCCAAAAGAATTTAAAATTTATACTATTTTGTAAGTTATTTTAAATTCTTTCTGTCTAAATGTCTTTGTTGTTTGTTAGTAAGTACTTACAGTTAGTTCTTGTTTTGTAGTTTATAGTAACAGTTTGTAGTTTTGTTTTGTCAAATAACAACGGCATATTGTCTAAATTAAATCTAACAAATAATAATACTAACAATAATATAATTATATCAGGCCCAAAGAAAGAATTAATCGAAATGGCACCAAAAAATACCCAAAAAATTTACAAATTTATTAATTTTTTTTTTATTTATGGCCAAATTTTCTAAAATTATATTTTCCTGCCAGATTGTTTTAAAAAATCACTCTGTACGTTTCGATCCCAATTATGTGCCATCACATGAAAACGTATAGGAAAAAATTGATAGTTAATTAACGATGATACACAAACTAACAAAAGTAATGGAATCTAAAATAGAAAACCAATATACAAATAATTCTAAAAATACTAATTCTGCCAAAAATATTTATTCTGCATAATTCGTACAAACGTTGTACATTTCGGCACGAAATTTGTGTAATTATTCATTCACATTTGAAAAAGATTTTGTGTATTAAATCAGCAAATTCAAAAATATTTCATTTAGACAAAACAAACTAGCAATTATAATTTCTGTACGTTTCGAACTAAATGTGTGCCATCATTTAAAATCTCCAAAAATATTTATTCCGTACGTTTCGACCCTGAGTTTGTGTCATCATTTAATAGATTGAGACACAAAAAATGCAAAAGGTTTTAAAAAATTTTAGTTTTGCATGTTTAACTAATAATCGTGCTGATATTTTTTTCCCGGATAGCCTGATACCAAGCAGTAGAAATACCTACATAAGATCATAAAATATGTTTTCAAGTAAACATGGCCTTTTGTTTCAAAAATATATCGTGAATAATAGAAAGGACAACCATTGAGTTGCCTTCTAAACAGAGACGTTGTGAAGAAATGTCTTTGCAACAGTTTTTAGAACTTTTAGTGTAGTTGTTGAAAAAAATAGATTAGTAATTAACAATTAGTATATTAATTATTTAACTCAAAAATTAATATCATTTTTTTTTCAACTAATTTATATAATTACAAAAAAAATTAATAAAAAAAGAATGAGTTTTAAAAGTGTAATACGCTTGAAAATATTCAGAAGTCGTAAAGTTTAGACA